ATTCGATGCTGAAGTCACAGTTAAATAGAAATGAGCGGCCTACGGATTGTAGTCTATGTGAAGAAATCTTTCCATGGGTGATGGAATGTGGGGTCCAAATATTTCTTAATTGTTTGGATTCGAAATGAATCCTTCAAGACAAATACGTCTGGGATGTTAAGACCTCCATCCTTTATATCTGACAGCATCGTGCTCCTTGCGATTTTATCTTTTCTGCCCCATAAAAAAATTAAAACAAAGTGTGTTCACTTGAGAAAGAATTGTATGAGGTGTGTTGGTCATGCGCATACAATATATTATTTTGGAGACTGCTAGTGATTTAATAATTTGAGATTTTCCAATGAGAGTAAGATTTCTTTGTTTCCAGAATTTAAAAGTGCATGCCAAATTTTCCAATGGTTTTGCATAATTTAATCTTGTTGCCAATGATGTATTATAAGAAAAGTATATCTCAACGATTTTAATTGGCTCTCTGGGCCACTTCAATCCAAATGGCGTATCCTTCCGATCTTTCCAGTGCCCCAACCACATGCATTCTGTTTTTCCCCAGTTTGTTTTTAGTCCAGAGAGCCTTTCAAAGTCGTTCAGTAAAGTTAACACTTTGGACGCGGAATCCATATTACGCAAGAAACACGTAAGATCGTCGGCGAACGCAACCCCTTTCACATCTATCTTTATCTAACCGTATTCCTTCAACATCTGGATCTGACCTTATCGACAAAAGAAATATTTCAAGTGCAAGTATAAATAGTGCCGGTGAAAGGGGATCCCCCTGTCTGACGCCTCGTTCGATTGTAAAGTATCCATTGTTTATAACTGTACATTCAATGTTACAGTATATAGCATCAAACCACCTTAATAAAGACGGCCCAAAATTGTACATTTTAAGGCAGTGTAGAATGTAATCCCACTCCAGAGAATCGAAGGCTTTTTCAAAATCTATTGCCATCAAAATTCCTGACAGCTTTTCTTCCTTAGTTGTCATGAGAATTTCCTTAATTAAACGAACACAGTTCAAAATATCTCTCCCTTTAACAAAAGCTGACTGGATGTTGTGAATTAAAGAAGGTAGTACTTTATCAAGGTGCTTCGAAATACATTTAGAGGCTATCTTAGCATCCACATTAATTAGTGAAATTGGTCTCCTTTCCCTTTTTGTCTATTAATGTTATTATATTTTGGCGTTGAGACGCTGAAAGAGTTCCATTGGCATATGCATAATTCAATTCCTTAACAAGGGACTGCCAAAAATTCGGACGGTAAACCATCATTCCCAGGCGTTTTACAGCGCGGCATTGTGACTACTAGAGCATGGTATGCCTCATCAACTGTAATCAGACCTTCACACAACTCTTGCCGAGCCTGTGAGAGTTTGGGTATTGTCTGATTGGAAAATAAATCACAGTTTTCAAAATTAACATAGCGCGATTTATGCTTAGATTTGTACAACGCCTTGTAAAATTGTCTTATTTCAGACAGAATTGTAGAGGGAGTTTCGTGAACAATATTTTCAGGACTACTATTCTCTGTATGTGGGATTTTAGATAATACGTCTCTCTAGCCTAGGAAGCACTTAGTACTTTTTTCTCCACTTTCTGTCCACTGGGACAGAGAGCGGATAATTGCTCCCCGTGTAATATAATCATTACAAGAGTCAAGTTCATTTTTAACCTGGTTATACTGTTCAAGGTTTACATTTGAAGGGTCAGATGAACACAATAGATCCAACTCTTCAAATTTATTTTCGAGTGAGATTCATTTACCCTTTCGTTGTCTTGCCCTAGTTTTACTAAAATTTACAGTGAATTTGCAAATTTTGTATTTTAAATAATCCCAAGATAGAGTTGGAGTAGAATAATTATTAATTTCAGATAGCCAATCGTGTAATAATTTTTGCATCTCATTTACATAATTGATATCATCCAGTAGACTGATATTAACCTTTCAAAACGACGGTCCATGAATTGAATCTTGTGATGAACACACATGAATGATCACTGAAAGAAACTTGTACAATGTCCACCATACTAACAATATGTTGCATATGGTCAGAAATAAGAAAATAATACAATCAACTTTGAACAGGTGTCGAGACACCCCTTCGCCAAGTAAAACGTTGCGTATTCTCCAAATGTTAACTAAATCATACTTTTCTATAAAATTACTAAAACTAGCATTGGAACGGAACGGTTCCAGGTGCGAGGATTACCTCCGTGGCGATCCAAGGCAATGTCTGGGGTATAGTTAAAATCTCCACCACAGATAATCTGTGTGTCCACGTCTTGGCTGTATTTTTGAACAGTGGTGTTTATGTGATCTAAAAACCGGTAATGAGAGTTTTGGTCGTTTGGGGCGTAAATGTTTAATAAAATGAACAGTTTATTATTTATTAACATACGGATTAAAACAAAACGCCCACTCTGGTCGGAAACAACATCTGTAATATCATATTTGAAATTGTGAATAATAGTAAGTACACCCTTACTGCTACTAGTACCATGGGAATAAACACAGTGACCATTTGTTTGAATAGACCATTGCCTTGGATCTCCAGCCGTGCTATGGGTTTCCTGAAGAAACACAATATTTGCATTTTTACTTTTAATCCAGTTAAATATTTTTGCTCTTTTAGAATAACTTCTCAGGCCATTTACATTAAGTGTTAATATTTTCAACTCAGTCGCCATAATTAAATTGTCTAAATTGACTACATGTAAATGTACCTTGAGATGTGGTTCAAAAACGTAGCAGTAACAAATACACCCAATTGCAAACTGCATGATGAAAGAGAGCAGTGAAACAATCAATACTGCTCCGAAAGACCCTTTTAATAAATCGAAAGGAAGTAGACCAATAATTCATAGTCATCATCAACAAAATGAAAACCAAAAAAAAAAAAAAAACAATTAGAAGAAGAAAAAAAAAATTTGGTAAACTGTATCGAGTGACAAACATCTTGTCTGTAGTTAATCACAAAAGGTTCAAAATACAAGTTAAATACCAGTGTGGCTAATTACCATCATTAAACAGGTGTGTATTCCACACAATGTATCCTAATTAGCACATGAATATAGCAATGTTCATCTACAAATCACACAAAACATGGAATAAAGCTAAATTAAACAAATTATATCAATACATAAATGGTTTACCCTCTATAAAGTGTTCCTTCAATATAAAGTTTACCATCGTGAAAAGTTTGTTTTTTGCCTTCTTCATAAGCCTTCGTCATCACATCCTTCAACGACTGTTTTACTTTATAGTCTTCCGGGATGAGATCACGGGCAACAAAAATAGGCGAATCTTTTAAAACGGATCTGGCATTCTTGACTACAAGTTCTTTAATTTTGCGATTATATGGCTAGGTGTTTTCCCATTACTTTTTGACCGGAGGCGGTCTGCATTTTCAACGACTTGCCCAGAAGCCATTTTGAATTTTTCAACTAACAGTTTTTCAATAATTTCTATGCAATTTTCATCTTTGGTTTGTTTGATTCCTCCAAATCACAAATTATAATTGTGTGAGTACCTGTCTTGTTTCATCTGTCGTAGACGTAGCTCGTCATTGTGTGTCGGTAACAGTTTATTTTGTTTCTCCTATTCATATACTCGTGCAGAGAGTTCGCCGACTTTACGATTTAATGTGTGGAATGATTGCTCATTCTTTTTTGCGAAGTTTTCGAAACTAGCTTGTCTTTCTTTTAGTTCATTTTCCACTCTGTCGACTCTTTTGTTTGTATTCTTCAGGTCATTCACTATTTTATATAGGTTGGAATCAATACGCAGGATCGCTTCTTTCATAAAACGTTGGAAGTCCTGATCACTAGCATCCCCACTCGGACTGTCCTTGGCGGTATCCACATACTGCGTAATGGATCTCTGAGTCAATGGCTTTGGTGTATTCATCGGTTCCACTTTATCTTTTTCTTTTATGCTTGCCCTAGTTTCAATTTGCATCGCTCTGTCACGTAAGGTATCACAAACTACCCCCACAATTGTTTGTAATAAATGAGGCTTACTTACAAACTGAAATACTGTAAAATGAAGGGTCTACCGGAGCAGCAGTGAACCACGACCTACACTACATGCTGGTCTTCTGGATTCATATCTCTGACATGTTTATTTTCAAACTATATTACTAAAAAAACTATATACCTTAAATTTGATAACTAACAGAGACTGTGTCATACATGGCTTGTTGTCGCTTTACTTTATTTTTGGCATATATAAGATTGTTCCTAATTGCAACAGGGAATATGTCATTAACAGTGACTAGTTATATTAGAGATGGCAGGAGAATGTTGAATGAAGAATGATTTGTATTGTCCTATATTGCAGATAACATTATACACCTACAACTGGTCATCAGAATTGAATGGTACTCTTGATAAACTTGGTAATCGCTTGTTTCAATGGCATAATGCAAGATCTCATCTCTTACAATGTATTGTGAATCAAAAACTTGGCTTATTTCAACATAGAAACTTTGGGGATCTTGAAGACAACAAGGGGAAGGTAAGACACTTCTTTTGTTGAATTGCATCTTAATATTAGAAATGTAAATTAATATGCATATTGTCTTTTTTCCATTCATTCAAGTAGCAATGGAGATTGCAGAACAGAGTATGGTTTATCATACAATAAAAAAAAAATGTGTTGACTGCAAATAATAGCAATATTTGTTTAATGAAGATATAGAAGTATGACATACATTTTTTTTAATTATATCTTTTCTTGTTTGCTGTTTTTATTACAAACATTTTATTTTGTTTTATTTTAACTATCGCCACATATATGTATGAAAACCAAAACTTAAAAAAAAACTAATAAATAAATCAAATTAAAAAATGAAAGCAAATTTTTACATTGTTTTCTGAACAGTACTGCATGCAATGTCAACTTGTGATCTCTAAATAGAGAGTGCATTCACAAAAATATGGATAATATATTACAAAAAAATTAATTCCAAGACCAAATTGACTTTATTATTACACAACTGTATCGGCAGAGGACACTGTATGATAATATACATAACAACATATTCTGGAAAAATAAAATGTTACATCAAAATACAATATTCATTCAAGTTACTGTGTTTTTCACATACTTTGCCGCTTGCATGCTAAAATTCATAATTTAAAACAATTGTGATATTTTGTTTGATGACCATAATATTGAACTTGAGAAATACATTTTTGAAACAATTAGTCCTAATTCTTTAATGGATACAGGTCTTACCAAAAAATTAAATATGGTTGCACAACACAGACGTTATGATGTCTTCCTGTTTCAATATAATTATATTTATACTTTTGTTTTGCCATTCAGGAAATGAATCCCTACTGTCGATCATCAGATGATATTGATAAGCTGGTTAAGCGTACAGCTCCACCAATGAGAGAGCATAGTAGACGTGGTCCAAGCAGTACAATGAGATCAGCGCCATCTCACCATATCCAGCCAGGTGTACCAGTGTTTGACGAGATATTACGAGATCAAGTTCCTGTCATAACAATGCAAAGATGTAGTTATGGTGGCATTAAAGATCCAGTCATGAGACATGGTTCACAGTTTATGCAAATATATGCCAGAGAGAAAGAGGGTATGTATGTGTTATGATACATCACATCATACACAATACATCATGTCATACACAATACATCATGCCATACACAATACATCATGTTATACACAATACATCACGCCATACACAATACATCACGCCATACACAATACAGCACGCCATACACAATACATCATGACATACACAATACATCATGTCATACACAATACATCATGTCATACACAATACATCACGCCATACACAATACATCACACCATACACAATACTTCATGTCATACACTATACATCATGTCATACACAATACATCACGGCATACACAATACATCATGCCATACACAATACATCACGCCATACACAATACATCATGCCATACACAATACACAATACATCACACCATACATAATACATCACGTCATACACTATACATCATGTCATACACAAGCCATACACAATACATCACGCCATACACAATACATCACGCCATACACAATATATCGTTATTACCATGTGGATACATATATTTTTCATGTTATTTAACCATAACTTCGCTTCTTTTTATCAGATTTACTTCATTGTTATATGTAATTATCAGTGTTTATTATCTCCAGTTATGTTGTCAAGATTGAGTAGTTGTAATCAAAGTTTCTATAGATTTATGCTGTTTTCGTG